AGTTTCTTAATTTATTGATTACCTTGATCAAAAAACCCATTCACATGCAACGTAATAATCACTAACTCAACTATTTTAGCACATAAAAACTATGATTTCACAGAGTAAGTGTGAAATGTGTTTTTCTCCGTGATGATAATTAAAATAAATTTAAAAAGTTTATCCTTCCAGTTTCAGATTCAACTTATCATTGTATAAATCGATATTCAATATTAACATTTCATATTTCCTAAATACCAATTACTTTTAGCTGAAGAGTGAAAAACATCCTGGCGAAAGCGAGTGATTAAATAAGTTCAGCTTTCCGAACTTTTTTAGTTTAAATAATGTAAGAGGTTTACCGTGTTATTATTAGTTTGAATTTCATAAGGAAAGTAAACAGTAATAGATGTTGAGATGATTGTTCGAAAAATTAAGCAGTGAAATTGTATTATATTATCAATGAAAGTGTTTCCCCTAAAAGTTTAGAGATAAAGCCTATGAAAAAATAGTCCCCATGAATTTAAAATAAAAATTATATGTGGAAAGAGTTTATTCATATAGTTTAAATTTGATAGTAAAATGGAATTTAATTAATAGAAAGATGAACTAAATTTCCGATAAACTAAAAATATAAGTTATTTTGTTCTCAGTTAAGAAAACATGTAGGATAAAGAATAGCTTACTCTTCTAGGGAAATCCACTTGACGTTACATGTTTAGAGAAGTTCTTGATATTGAATTTGCTTTGTAACAGTTAAAATCTTTAATGATGAGTCATTGCATAAATCAATGAAGGGGTTTTCACATTTTACAACATATAACGGTGAAAGGGATCTAAATATGTATTTTTATACAACATACAGAAATCCATATGGAATTTTATAATTTGAAAACAATACAATTTCAGTAACATCGTTGTGTTTGGTAGATATTATTGGTTAAGATTTTTAAAAAATGCACATATGTTTATTTAGAAAACAGAACTCAGTAACAATATTTTAACCTTGAGATACACGACTGTTTATGAGAAATACTTCGAATCAACTATTCAAATTAGAAATAGGATGCTTTATTACGTGACCTGATAGTTAAAAGTCCAGTCTTGTATACTGAACTTCGGCTCTATTGAAAAATGTATGGAAAGCATAGTTTAATTGAATTAAGCATCAAAAACCTTTAACGTCCAATCGTAGATAACTGACATTCTTAATGCTTTTAAGAATAAAATTTCAACCGATCCTATTTATTTGTGTATTAATAAAATTAAGTGTTACAAGTTAACGTAATACATTGTCAACTATATATTATTACATAAAATATAAAAACAATGTCTCGGTATTTTGTTTACTTTCACAACAAGTATACATACATTACTATAAACGGAACAACTGACAATGGAATCGATTTTGGTCAATAAGTTGGACAAAAAAATGTGTTTAACTTTTTAATATTTTCAGATTATAGAATTGAGTATTCTTATGTGATTTAACTTGGGTAAAGTTTCTAAAAAATATATAATTAATTACCAACTAATTTATGATGAATTATCAATCCCAGAACTTCAACTGCAGTTAGGAATTTATTTGCAACATTCCAATCTCCAAGTAAATGCACTATCTTCATTTAAGCTGATGAATTTCCACCATATATTTTGATTATCATTATAAAGAAATAAGTTGTTCCAATCCTTTTATTATTATGACAAACTAGGTTCAAGATTGAAAATAATAATCATTTTAACAGAATAACATCGTTTATAAACCATAAGTATTAATGGATTAAACGTACAAGGTATAAGATGAAAGTAATGATAATAAAATGAACTACTGATTGGGCATAATTGTTCTTTTACTAAGTATATGATTATGTAATTATAGACAGAGGAATTCGTTAAATTCAACAATGCTAAGATAAACACCAAATCATGAAACACGTTAGAATAGAAGAATGAATAAAACAAGTGATGGATGATATAATAATCATAGAACGGAAGAGACTATACTTCAAAAAGCGATTTGTAAAAATTTTTGTCATCAGCTACTATTGATAATTATAAAACTCATATTTTATAATTTACACTATCTACACAACTAAGCCACTAAGATATAACTTTGTATACTTTACAACATTTTGTTTGTGTGAGGGCGGCCTGCTTGAGCATCTGGGCTACCTGTTCCTGCCATCCAGATATTTCAACAAGTTATCTATTTTTGTTTTTCTTAATATATCAATATGTTTATTAATCGCATAACCTGTCCTGCTGCATTTCTGAAAAGTGTACAACCTTTCGTTGTCAAAGTTACAAAAAACTCAATAAGAGACAATGTGGTTGCTGGCAATATACAGCGAAAGGAATGCACATTATTCAGATGTTCATTTACTGAACTGCTAACATCTAACTGGTGATCACTCAATATTTATCGCCAGGACCGACCAAGAAGAAAGAAACGGAAACTTGTTGAAATACTTTACGCTGAGAATTCTATATTGTACCAAAAATATAATATTGAATAAAGCTGATAATAATAATAATAATAATAATAATAATAATAAGTTCATAAAGTCTCTACTATTAGTGATGACATACATGGAAGTCAAGTGACTTCTTTATCCATATTATTATTATTTATAAGTTGAGGTTTGCTAATTCAGAGTCTCGATCAAGTATTATGAAGATAAATACGATAACTAACGTCTATATATAACAGTCTATGAGGAAGATTTGTAGATCAGGTAGATGCTCTTGGTGTCGTTGGGCTCTTTGAACTAGATAATTTAATTTCCAATCAGAACAATATCGCTGTCGATTTCACGTACAAGTAAGCCTCTGGTTATTTCACTTCTACTAGTCAAGTGCTGATTATATTGTTCAGACTGACAAAAAAGGCTCCGCAACTAAAAAAACATCTAGTTTAAAGAAATCAACACCAAAAAATTACACAACTCTACTTGGTATCATGTCTATATAGTAAGAGGTATCTATTTTAGGGTACACTTGAAAAAGTAATTTGATCATCACGAATCGAAATCAGTTGGAGTGTCGTGAATGAGAACTCAAGTGGGAAAACTAATTTATTGTTTAATGAAAATCAAACATTAAATATACCATTTGCATATCCTCTTTGAAATGTCTGTTGCAAACTGCGTCGTTCCTCCATTCCTATTGGCTGATTTCAGTTTTCTTCTCTCTTCTCTTCATTTTTCTCTTCTGTTAGTAAGAATTCCAATTCTTATGACTGATACATACTACTTATATATGTCTGTATACGTAGCACACACCGCGGGAGAACCAATAAAAACCAAGGACCCATTGTTTATCCTAATTTGGGTCGGATTAATGGTGTACATTCGTAACTTAAGACAGAACCCAAAACCTTTATGTCTCATATGATAAGCCATATATTCTAGAAATTGCTAGAAAACTGAGTTCGATGTTCTTAGTTAAATTTCTGAACAGTGCGAAATACGACAACTATTCATCACTTACAGAGAGGCCTATAATCATGGTTAGATAAAAATACGGTAGACAACTGTCTAAAAGGTATTTACTAAAATTCTGTGAACTAATCGATTGAAATCTTATCTCTACTAGGCCCTTTCACAACAATAAGTGGAATAAAGTCAATAACAGAAACAATACTAGCAGGAAAAACAGCAACATGAAAGACAGTAGAAGGTTGCTCTTTTCCACTAGAAGTTTGTTAGCGATGGTTTCCATTGTGTACTTTAGTTAGTGGTCATACTTCGTAGTTTATCTGGTAGACATTACGTAGACCACTAACTCAGATCCACTTCGTACCCGGACTTTGCTTCAAGTGTATTTATTGTCATGTAAATAATGAATTTATCGTTTACGCGGAAATAATTTAGGCAGTGACATGATAATACTAATAAGGGGAAACGTTCAGTAGGCTGCTGAACAGGTAACACAAAATTTTTTTTATTCACTAGTAAAATGAACAGAAAATTATATAGACTACACTTTAATCATCCATAAAAGAGATAGAAAATCAAATAATCAGATTACCGCTAATTGTAAATAGCTTAAATTTGAAAATTCTGTTTATGGCATAACCAGTTAATGGACAAGATTAAGTAAATAATATGTTTTGTGGAAAATATTTAGTTACATTATATGGTTATAGAAACGATTTCATATGATCAGCATACAATTGGATTATATCGTATAACTGACACTCATCGACATTACTTTGTCTAGTTGGTGTTATTCACACGTGTTTATCGCTAATAAACAATACAAAAAAAAGTATGTCAAGCCTCAAGATGCTTCCTGTTAAACATATATATTATTTGAAATAACGAAGTATATCAAACTATAATCTATAACTATTATGTATTGTATTGAGATTATTAAGGAGCAATACTTAAGCAATAACTATTTAATGAATCAATGTTTACAGAATTTCTGTAAAAATAAATACCATTCATCTCAGCACTGATTAACAGCTTATCATGTTCTTAAATATTTAAGCGTGAACAAAGATAACAGTACAACTCATTTACCGAGGAAAGGTCAGTGAAATTAGTTTTAAGCAAGTTTTCTTAAAAGTAAATGATACAAAGCAACCACACAAACTGAGGTAGATGAAACGGGTTCGGAAACAGATATTTAATTCTTAAAATCTGAACTAATAAGTAAATACTCTATAACAAAACTTCAAGTGATTTAAAAGTTTGAGGAAGTAACTAGAACACATAAAACCATTTTAAAAGGAACCTATGATAATGATACCTCATCAATAGAATATTAATGCCACGTGATGTAAACAATAGGCATTACTGCGATTTTATTAGGATTAGTTTTTAATCCAATTAGAAAGCAAATGATGAATAATTACTTTACGACAACTAAGAAAATAGATAACGTATAGATACCATAACTATAAAGATCCCCTGTTCTATCATGCTTCAACTTAACTTTTAGCAGTAAAGATCTGATACAGGACATGACAGAGAGAAGAAATAAGACAAATAATTTCATATTACAAATGTACTTACTTCTACACCAATATGATTTAGACGATTGAGGTAATAGCGTGTATTCTCACTCTGTAAGATAAAAAATAGAACCAAATATAAAATAGATGCTAGAACAAATAGGTGGAAATGTATTTGATACAGTATTAAATATAATAAAAAACATTACTGAAATAATAGTCGAATTGTAAGGACAAAGATGGATACATAGTAACTAACACAATATGTACACCTGGGATGTATCCGTATAGTCGTCTGAATTACGTGTATATGTACGAAATAAGAGGAAATACTTAGTCAACCCTAGATATCAGGTTGGATACATTCACACAGTAGTTATGATTAGGTTTTATCTTGGAAATTAATCAACTAGCGTATTTATATATACGTTGGGATAAATAATTTTATAATAGTAATCGTATGAATTTTAAAACTAATCGAAATTACAGTTGAATTCACCACTCGATCGAAGTCAAACCACCACTGAAAACCTGGAAGCACTGGACGGCCGTTTCATCCTAGTATGGGACTCCTCAACAGTACGCATCCACGATCCCAGCTCGTGAGATTCGAACACAGGACTTATCAGTCTCTAGACCACTAAGCCGGCATACAACGGTGCTAATGTCTAACTTCAACCAATCCACGAAATTGCGCCACCGTCCACTATTACATTATTTAATTATTTACAGAAGGAAAGTAAGTTCGATCGAACTAGAAAAATGAAAAGTTATATGCTTGTTAGTTTGAGGTGGTTACAAAAAATTCAGGCCGCTACCAAAAGCCTACATTTATATGACAGTTATATGAGCTAGCCTGACAAATATATTTCGTGTGACTCACCGAAGTATTATACTACAGCTCTATGCTAGTATCTGAATATTTTTCATCTGTGTGATCATAGATGAATATTAGAATCAACCTAATACGACCATTATCTACTTGAAAAAAGTGTGCCCAACAGTAAGTTGGAGTTTTTAATGTTTACATAACATGATAAACTAGATAAAAGACCAAACTTAGAATTTCTGACATAGCAACCCACGAACAGAATGTTTTTTGCTTAAAGTTAATTATATTAAATCAAAATTAGGTCACCTGATTAAACTAATTCAATGTAACTGGCATTGTGTACTATTCTGAGAAGGTTCATACTATAACGGGTTAAATAATAGGCAAAGCTGAACTCTCGAACTATCGTACCAGGAGTTACTATTTATATTTCTGTTGTATCATTATTAGATACTTAAACTAGAAGCTGTCCACTTGCTGTTGTATTCTACTCGGGCTATGGGCGGACAAGTGTGGGGAGCTGCCTCCTGTTTTGTTCTCAGCTGTTATTTCACTACTCTCGTATCACTGGCTAGCTGAATGTCATCAATACTGGATAGACAGTTTAGGCGAGTTAATCAATACTCGGACCAGATCAGCACACTTGCTCTTCTGTATTACGGTCCTATCACATGGGCCCCGAAAATAACACACAGGAAAGATATTATTTTGCCAACACATCAATTAATTATACTCACGAAAGTAAGAAGTTAAATTTAGTCATTTTTTAAAATCTACACTTGGTGTAATTATGTTTACATTAAAAGGATGATGAATTATAAGTGTTTTGACTGGGAGGTTACAAAAGAGGATGATTTGATAACATCAACATGGTCTTAATCATTAGTACTTAGACAGTTTTACAACGGACTTGTTCTCACTATATCACTGACTCCTAAATTTACAGTAGGAACAGCAAATCCAAGACGGTTCCAGGTCGTTTAAAGAATGTGTTATCGATAATTCCGACAACCGGCAGGTTCTAGGATGAAGATGAAATTACAAATATTTTACACAAACTATATCCTCCCATATGACGAAAGTAGTTGACTAAATTCATTTCAGGAAACATACTACTGCAGGGTTTCGTATGAGAATCAAAGTTGTGTGAAGATTTATTTATTCTTAAAGAAGAAGAGAGCTGGTCAGTACCTCAATGTCACTATTTTCTTCACCTACATTGCAGACATGAGATTTAATCAAGAAGATGGCATCAATCTTTCTGAACCATAAGTATTTCATTATTTCGGGGATCTATTTACATGTCTTCGTTTCAGTTCATTTTAACATTCCATTCTTTTTAATGAAAATCTATACTTATGTTATTATGTATAGTATATAGCAGACTGACTTAACCATCGGTGATATCAAGTTTGATTTTGCATTTAACACGGAAAATTAGACAAATGAAATGTAACCAAGAGATTGTTTTACACAGTAAATTTACAACCGAAAATTGATTTTATTTTAAACAATTACCTAGCAGAAGTCAAATACGAACATGTAGGTAAAATAAACTTCTCGTTCATAAAATAAACACAACCACAAATCACTGTTAAAATTATCACTCAAACGTAACCAAGTAACTGTTGAAATAAGGGATGTTAACAAAAATATGTAACTGTGAAGAAAATAGAAACAAGGAAATAGAATGATTTGCAGGTTGTACCTCTCCATCAAAACCGATACATGCCCATTCGTACTCATTTGTAAAGGATTTTTATGTTTGAATACAAGTACATACAAGTTATCGTTTCTCATACAAGATTATGCTGTTTTGGGCTAGATATTTTCATAATACTACATTCAATAAATATGAAAACTAAAGTCATAACACTCAGGGCACATTATTATCAATACCATGTGCATAACCTAACGCATGTAAACTAATTCAATTTCTCATGCCACATTACACAGTAAGATAAAATTATTTTGAGGCGAGTCCCAAAGTAGTGGTATCAGTATCATTAGTAGCAAGAAACAAGATGAGTTAAGGAAAAATAAACAAGGTATAGGTAGATTTCAGGATTGAGGATTTAGAGGAAGATAAGGAGAAATCCACCTTCACCACTCCGAACCATTCTGATCGATGTCACCCAAAGACTCTAACCATTGGTTACGACAATCAGACAGACCCCAAACAGTAAGTCTCCACCTATTATCATGCCTCATCCCAGTTCTCAGGGTCTTCATGGACTGATACTATGTATTCGTTTGACTGACCCTAACTCCCACACCAGAAAACATCTCTCGTTCACGTAGACGGTGGTTGGGTATACGTAACACGTGTTCCGACCACCTCAGTTGAAGATCTACTACATTATCAATCGATTTGCCACCTTCACCAAGTACCCTACTCACAACCTCGTCGTTGCTCACTCAGTGGTCTCAAAATACACGAGCGGTGCTTTGGAAATATCTATGATCAGTAATAGTGACCTACGAATATCCTCTCTTTACCAAAGAATGACTTTAAACAGCTCTTGCATATGCGTATGAAGGATGTCGTATTAAAAGTGTTTGTGACTGTTTCAAGCAACAGATTTGTTACTAATATACCTGGTATACAGGATTGCCTCGTTAATTATTGTCTTCATCTTTGTCTGATTAAAGATGGTCATGAATATATCTGCCAAGATCAGGCCTAACAGACTCCCCATAGAGCCTCCACCAACTTAGCGATATAAGGTATTGTTAATTTGGGAGTATACATCTTTTGTACACATTATTAAAAGCTGTTTGAAGTCATTCTTTGCTAAAGGAGGTAGGCAAGTGTATTGCTTGCAACAGTCAAACATGCTACTAATATGCTGAATCTTCTCAATCATGAATATCTGAATATATGATTTAGAAGGCAGCATGAGCAAGACAATATGTTTTATTCTTCAAACCTTGGTATCCAACGTAATGGAATAGGTCGAATTCAAAGATTTATTCATCAAAAGGATACACGGAATGGACTTTATTTGAATTTTAATAGCTGCTGTTTGATACGCTATAAACTAGCTTTAGTAAGAACTCTATTCTATCGAGTACAAAAATTATGTTCAGAGGACGAAATTGAAGAGTAATTAATCATGGTTAAGGTGTAATGATGATCAAGGACAGTTTATTAATAAATATTGGAGTGGAGTACGTGTCGGATGTGAAGAGGCTTGCTCGCCAAAGACAATGGAAAATGGTCGCGCAGTATCGTGGATTGATTGAAGTTAGATACTAACGCCGTTGGACGCCGGCTCAGTGAACTAGAGGTTAGATGTTCACGCAAAACAAAGGGTAATAGGTTTAAGTACCGTGTGCGGATCATGGATGTGCACTACTGAGTCCCATGCTAGAATAAAACGGCCATTCAGTGCTTCCATAGTTTCAATGAAGGTTTTATACTGATCGGTTCGTGATTTCGATGAAATATTGGAAAATAAGACTGAAATTAACAAAGAGTGCCACAGTGGAAAAAAACCTGTCTTCATACGATTTGTATCTAAAAGTGACGAAGTATGTTGTAATATTGATTCTGGACTAACAGCTTCATTGAAAAGGACTTATACAACAGCAAAACTAGTCTCGATATATGAAATAGAGTGCTCGCTTAGATATTCGAAAGTGGACAAGTACTCACATTGCATTACTTTTAATTGTATATACCAGTTTATATGTTACGTATCGAAGCACATAGATTAGAAGAACAGAAAGGAGAGTTAATGTTCGTATCAATGAGCATATTCCTTAAAAGGCTGAGACTGACAGATAAACACGCCCCCAAAAGTTCGATTATTCGTCATCTACTTGATAGTGGACACGAGGTCGAGATTTCAAAACAGTTCAAAATTATTAACAGACAAACAGATTCGAACTTATAACGTCTTACCTAACCAATTGCTATCAAAAGACGTAAACCATACTTATGTGTTCGAAAGGACACTCTTGCATTGCACTAGTGGCTTTCGTTTGTGGCAATTCTTGTTTACAATTTAAAGTTTTTTCTTCTCATACCTTTTTGAGTTTTACCTGAGCTACGCTTATTTTTATCAGTCCATTTCTCGTTGTTGTTATTAAGTAACTTTGAGAACCAATCTTTTCTCTCATAACTTTCACATTATTTATTATATAAATATTTTACCATTTGAACGCTCTCTATAATTCTTTCATATTTACTAGTTTTATTTATTCTTATCGATGAGAACAATTCTGATATTATGACTTAAAGTGTGTACACTGATTTTTAATGATTAATACTACTATGTTTAGGTTGCATGCAGATGATGAGAAACCACGAAATAAAATGAACTCAGATTGTTCTGGTACGTTTTCTGTTCTTACTCTATCAAAAATTATATATTCGCCGGGACAAACAGTGCTTATCCCCTCTACTAAAAAAGAACACCTTTAAGAGACCCAAACTTATAGGAAGAGGTATTTTAGCCTTTCCTAAACTTTAAATATCGATTTTATTTAAGTTCACTAAGTTAATAGAGTCGGCAAAAACAATAAAACTCCAAAACAAGAAATTATCAAGAAATGTATGAGAAACAAATTTTTCAATCAAAAGTATGCTTTGTAAAAGTAATTCAACTCACGAAATTCTCTGTAATAATTTTTGAACGTTGGTCGAATGCTAATCGAACACTTTCATCTCCCCAAATCGCATTCAGTGAAGGCACGATTTCCAGAAATTCTTCTTCCAACCAAAGTGGTTGACCAAGTCGAGAGCGCTCGCGACGCATCATTCGAGTTTCTTTAAAATGTGCTTCAATTTCTCTACTAGCCTGAGCAGCAGCGGAACCAAGTCCACCAGCCCATGGAATATTGAGACTTTCCCGTGCCTTACGAAGGTGAAATAAAAAAGACAGCAGAAAAGAATTTATTAAATATTGGGAATTTTAATGCCAATTCGATAGGAACAATGATTGTCAATAAGGTTTACCAAATACCTTCCTAGATATATTTACGCTAAATTACTTTTATCTTCCTCTTAGTATTACTTCACAATCTATAGTTTTTAACCATATTAGGAAACAATAAGACTGTTGTTGAATTTTATATGAATGTAGTTGTAACTATGTCATTTGAGGGGCCATTCATAAGCAAACAATTATATACATAATAGAAAAGTGGATCGATCAGCCAACAATAATACTTTCATAAAACCACTTGTCTTTATTACCAATACAAAACGATATGTACATCATATATATATACCATAATGAACTGTAATGTATTCAAGAACAACAAAAGTCTACTAGTAGTAAAAGTTAGAATGCTATACATCATCAAATAAGTATGACAACTTTCCAATATATGTTAACATGCTTGATCAGATAAAGCGAATTAAATTTTTCTAAGAAAAAAGCAATGAATTATAACACGAAATGTTTACCTATTATGGTATCGAAGCGCGAATCCGTTTTTGATTAGTGAGTATAGTGAGAAACTATAATCTGTATGATATGATGGATAGAAGAGCCAAGTCATATCTACGAATTGTAAACAATTAAATATAAATAAAATAATATATTTATAATATTCCGATGAGTAGAAAAATTAGATTTTCTTGCGTTTCGTTACTCAGTGTAAGACACTTCTTCAGAGAATATGTAACTACATCAAAATTAATCCAAGTTTAAATAATACAAAGGATCAAATAAATAACCTTGACCGGAATGACATGACACTGACTCGGTCAAATATGTTTCTGACTGATCACACCTAATATTCTTGCTTTGTTCCTTTGTATAATTTAAATGGGTTAATTTAATTTGGTTATTTATTCCCTGAAGTGGCTTACACTGAGTCACGAAACGTAAGACAATCTAATTTTTCAAGTCATTGGGATATTACAAATATATTATTTTATTCATAACGATCCACTCAATGCTCAATTTATTCGAAATTAACAAATCAAACCTTGTTGATGATAGCTACAAGCAATTACTCATATTGATGATTATAATTTTGATGTTGGTTATCGGGGATAGCACAATTTCTTCCTCTACTTATTGTTAACGTTAAACACATACCACTTGTCTGTTATTTTCGCAAAAAGACATTTTATCAAATAAATGTGCTATTTTCTACAAGGGGGTGTATGGGATAAGAGGGTCAAGTCAACTGCAAAGTCCGAATCGTCTAGCTGCATCCAAGCTGTCCATTGTACTCCATGCTTTCCCTCAGATGTCGAGGTCTACATAATTCAGTCAACCACCAGAAGAAAGAGGAAGAGGGAGAGTAAGCAGTCTTGCCTGATTCCGGTTGTCAATTGGAATGCACATATCAGCTGTCCCTCGTGCACTACTTTGGAGTGTAGTCCGTTGTATGAATTCCAGATGATGCTGACGATCTCAAGTACAATATGGTGTCGAAGAAGTTCCCATAACGTTCTCCTATCCGCATTGACAATTACTTTCTCATAGTCAAGGAAGTTGATATGATTGATCCGGTTCTCTGTACTGTGATCCAGTCAGACCCATATAACTTTGTGTATGCATTTAGGGGAGAATATTGAGCCGCCTATAACCATGTTGTTGAATGCACATAAATTTGCAAATCTCTCACCACTCTCGTTTTTTTCTCCCAGTTAGTTTATGTCGTTCCACTGTATCTTCATACCCAGTGCTGTTCATTCCGACTTTGGTGTTCAGGTCTCCCATCAGAATGGTCAGGTACTTTCCTGATCACTTAGCTGTGATTGATTGCGGCCTCTCATACAACTGGTCTTTATCGTCTTCGTTGCTATCATTGGTAGGTGAATAACACTGGATAACATTCATTGTGATCCCCTCCTACTTTTTTTTCAAGGATGCTTTGATGATTCTGGATCCATGGAATTCCCGTCCTCTAAGTGGTTTATATGCTTCCGTGGACAGCATCAGAGCAACTCTCTGAGCTTGTAGAGTATTTCCTTCTTCGTGACCCAAGTACAATAGTATCTATCCTGAATCTAACCTTTCCCTTCGAGCTACGGTTCAATGGGTTTTGCTGATTCCGGGAACCGACAAGCTGTATCTCCTCATCTCCGTAGCTATTTGGTTGATCCATCCAGTTTCCCACATTGTCCGAAGATCTGACGTGTCTATATTGATTGTTGCTCTGGTTTTTAGAAGGGACATTAGTCTTATGACTTCCGAAGAATTCGGGCTTTCAACCGGAGGCGTCATAATTGTTTCTTTAACTCGGGGGGCAGAATTTAAGTGGTTTTAAATGTGTTTTTTTCAAGTCAGCGGTTTTTTAGCAAGGCTATTTTCTACGTGATGTGGCTGATGACCCCACGCTCAACTCTACTCCTTTGCACGGGCTTTGGACTGGCAGTAACCATAAGAAAACTGCAAGTGGAGCATAGAAGTGTGGAAGAAACGGAATCGAAACAATAAAATTGGTGACATTGGGAATTAAACATTAAGAATATAGTTGGAAAGGGATAAAATCGGATGATGGAGAGTACGAGATCTAATTCAAACCCAAGATTTAGAAGAAAATAAAGAATGAGTACACCTATGTCACAATAATAGACTCTGCGTCTTGTCATTAAATGCATATAACAAAGGATTGTGATTATTTTGAGGACCTAAACCGAAAAGCCTTCTTAGTCCCAAGTCCACTGACTTCATGGGCTAATGTCAAGTCATGATGTTGCTGTACAATTCTTTTCAATCTACTGCAGAAAAACCAAACGTTGTGTTTTCAATGTCTTCACTGTCTCAATCAATGAATTTTACAACCGAGTGAATCAATTAATCATTTCTATCGATTAAACGAGGACAAACCTCAGCATTACTTACTTGTTATTCCCGCTATATGTGGCCAATTCTTTGAAAGCATATATAATCAAACATCATAAATCTAATTATTTCGTTTCCCTTCATGACAAGATTTATTTCGTAACGATAAAAGAATACAAAATAAAACATTAAGCACACAAAATGGCTGTTGTTGGGCATTTTGTGAGCACTACAAGTGGGATGAATTGATAGAATTCAGAGGCACATATAAAAAAATCTTATTAGAGATCAGACTGGTTGATTCTGTTCCGATTTCAACGCTTTGTGTGGCGTAAAAAACAGAGAAGTCAGAAGCAGCTGCTATCGAGTTACTCAATGAATGCAGATGGACGACCTGGATCTCAAACATGTAAAGAAAATTATGCGTACAGGTCATAATAGATTTCTTTAAATATAATAGTTCAGAATGTACATCTCGATAAAAATTAGATGGGGCTCCTGGTAGAAACTGATTTCAAACCGAATAACTCAAGCATTTTAACAGCTGATTTCAAATACCTCACTGATCATAAACGAAAAAGTTATGTGACTTCAAGGACTAACATCAACGATTAATAACGTAGCACATTTGTGCTATGTTTGATTGCGCTACCATGAGACTACTCATAGCTTGGTTATGCTTCGACCAACGAAGTATATGACAATTATCAGTAAGTGATCATGATGAAGTTATACCTAAACAATGTATGTTGATACATATCAAAAACTTTAGCACGAGATTTATTTAAATTATCTGGAAAATCAAATGTAAACACTAAAATCCTTACACAGCAAAATCAAAACACGTAACGAATGATACAAAAATATTAATAGTAAATTGACTTTAGTATTCTTCCATTCAAGGTTTCTTAGCTGTGCAATGAACCAGAGTTCATCACAAAAGTTGACCAAATAAAATGTTAACAAAAGCAATTTGTGCTGAGAAACGAAAGAAACATCTTTCTGGACGATAATTGTACAAATTATAAACATAAATGAGTCAAAACTTATTAGACAATCCAATTATTTAACCGTTTACTTCTGACATCAAATAACACTAAGTTTATTAAAATTGTTTCAAATATGCTTGTTGAGGAAAATTTATATCCTTAGAACTGACAGAGAAACTAAATATCGCTTAAGATTGCAAAAGTCACTGCTTCGAAAAAAATGGCCCCAGTTACGTGTTTATACATACACTAGTTAGTATGACTGTAAGCTTGACGATTAGAATAATTAACTGTCAACAAGTATCAAGTCCCAAGCCCACTTACAGCCACTGTAGCTTGTGCAGCAGGATAGTACCACTAGCTCTTGCACAAATAGTCTACTTCGAAGTTGATCACATCACCATTTACCATTAAAAAAGCTTATCAGTCAATGTAATAAAATGTATATCATTGAATTTCTAATGTATGTAAATATGTGGTTTTTTAAAGTAAACCACAATTTAAAAAATAACAGCTTTTAATCTCATTCCACATTTTATTAAAGTTTGATTACATTAGAAAAGATGCCAAATGTATCGATTTTTATGGTCATGTTCTCTTATTTAATTAAATATGCATACTGCTAACTTTATGCGAAAATGATAGAGGCCTCAAATGGCCAAAGAATCATTATATATATATATATATATATATATATATATATATATATATATATATATATATATATATATATTTCATCGCAAGATTTGAATAAGTTTTCTAGACTTCCGATTGGATACTTTGTTGACTGAAGTTTGAGACCCGAAGGTTGACTGCGGATTTCATTTGAATTGGATGAACCAAGTTGTTAAATAAACAGAAGAATATCCACTTAAATTAAGTGTGAACAGATACACCTTAGTCAGGTAAACTTCGTGAGAAAATTTTGTTTTCTGTTCACTTGGACACCAAAATAGTAATTTCTTACGTCATATTTCAAGTAAGCGAATGCCTAGTAGAATTATTAAGTACCAATTTGTTTGGTGTGAGATGTGGCAACTTGAACCGATGTATATATGTGCCTGGTCCTACGATGTAGCTGACTATGTTTAATCCAGAAGAAATAGCTGGTCAACACAGGTACCTCCAGCTAACGAGTTCCAAATATAAAGGAAAAAGCGTCCTGGATTCGACTGACAGCCATATTCCACTTATTAAATATCAATATCTATATTATGGCTTTATAATACGCAAATGGTGTGTAGCTGAGGAGTTCCTGTTGTTTCATCCGATATTACTCCGTAAGTGTATCGACCCCTTTTGGTGAGTATTAATGATCATTTATGAGTGAGCTAACTATAATAGTATAGATAAATTTCAACTGTCATTTAACTTTGAGGCTTTTACACCTTGTTTACGGCAATCATCGTTGCTCGCCATGAATCAATAGATATGTAAACTCATTAGGATCAGTCATTAAGACTTTCCGCACATCAACTAGTCTGAATAATGTTATGGAGAACCACTGACGTTTGACTACAAAGAATCATTCCTCTTTCTTACCCATTCTAACATGACCTACATAATTCACCATTTCGATTCAAGATTAAATCCCTTCCTCAACTCGAATGAAAAATATTTGAAATATGAAGGTCACTGACTTTAGTTATGCAACTCTCTGGTTAGCTTTCAAACAAGTTGAGATCTCAAATGACACAAGTTTCAGTCAGTATGGGTTGACCACTCGTAAAGACATTACTTGGCCACTAAACCAACGTAATATTTGATAGTTTTCGCCTTACATGATTATTTTTTGAAAAGTTTCCTAATAAATAACCAACTTCTGGGAAGTCAGACGAAAAATTGGCTATTTTTAAATGCATATCAATAAAATCTGAATATGAAGGGAGTGGATAGTTTTGATAAACACTACTTAGTATACCCGACTCAAATCATAGTTCTGACTCGTCCACAATTGAGTAGTGATGTGTTAATTTGGTGAGTCTTTCTGCGACAAAGAATACTACACAAATTACAAATCAGACGACAGACGTATTTATCATTATTTATCCGACAGATTCTTATTAAATCGACGGAGGAATTCGGGACTTGAGAATGTATTTTTTTCTGTTGGATTCGTGATTCAGTAGCATACACACTCCCGTTTTTGTTGTATAGTCAGATATTCAAATTCCACACCGACAAGCCAGAGAGCATAATCAACTCTAACACCACAGATTTAGTTTAGCATAGATATATAAAACGTTATTACGTTACGTTTATGCTTAGACTTTAGTTACAGTCATTTTAGCAGTTTAGAACGACAGATATAAGAAACCAAAGATGGAAAACAAGTTTGCTAACCTGCAGTAGGAATAAAACACCTTTGTATATGTTATCATAGATAATATCTTTTAGCTGTTCGATTTCTTGGTTTGTAAAGTGCTTTCCATTAATGATTTTCATTTGCTTGAGAAAAGTGCTTTTTCCACTTTCACCAGTACCCAATAATAAGATCATTTGCCTTTGACGAAGACGACTTTTCTCCTTTTTCAGTTCTTTTTCTATTTCCCTGTTGCGTTTTTGCTGCCACTTAATGATTTCACGGTCGTCAATTGACTCTTTTGGAAATGCACAGCAAGCAAGGAATGACAAGGTCACTGACATTGGCTGTACATAAAAACCAAGGAAAAATTATTGAAAGGACAATAACGCAGCTCAGTAACCAAGCACAGATTTGTGCACTAGGTTTTGAGCTATACAAGTTAGTCAATACGCCTTAATAAACAAACTCGGGTACTAACTCAATAGTAACCCCTCTGAGATTTGTTGAACAGTTGTTGAACCTATGAGATTTTTCAATGCTTCAAGTTGTAATTCTTTTCAATTTTACGAGTGAACATAATGTTAGATAAAGTCAGAAATCCCAAATCAAACACATGATTTGTGTTTAAAAACAGAAGCAGAAAATAAGCATAAAAATGGATATATTACCAAAGCCACTAAATGATAAAATATCGTTAACTATAGCTGGTTAACACACATGAAACCACTGATAAGAAAATGTACACAGAATTCCCAAGTTACTTTGTTACTGAGAGCAAAGACATATTTTATTGTTCCCGTAAAGAGCGGTATAACGGCTATAATTAAAGCTCGAAATCTTAATAACGGAAGAACAATTACTTGAGTGGTTTAGCGGGTTTCATGTTGTTAGTCGATATAATTACGAACTATCTGTTACTTATTCCATTAATTATTATCGTTTAAAACACATAACCATTGGCACAGGGGTCCATCAAAATATATAAGCGCCACACAGTAAAAACGAGATTGTGAAGAGATAGAGAAAAGAAAGTGAGCATAACAAGAAAACGAATCAAAAATGAATATAAATTATGGTATGAGAGTGAAATAATAATAACAATAATGGATGGAGCAGTTCAGTTAGGAAAAAGACAATCAGACAGGATTCTGTAAGTTATTCTAGCTTTTATGAAGTAAAAGAAAGTTACAGCATGATCGCCATTGGCTTGTATCCTGAGCCATGTCTGATAACGTTCCAAGCCATTGAAGTGCACCATCTCTAGGACCCAAAACATGGAATCGTGAAGGACGAACAGAATCCAGTCCTGAATACTTTTCTTTCATACCACGACCCTATGTCATTCACTGACCATCTTTACTCATTTTCCAACTAGTCCCAGCGTCAGTAAATAATGCACAACGTGAAATTCGCTGGTACAACATTCAAAATGCATATCTAAGTCACCAAAATCAGTGTTTCAAGAGGGTGAAATAATCGAACTATCATCACTGTGTCCGAACACACGTTGTCGAGCCTCTACATTACCAAGACAGTCTTACCACTGGATGTCAGCAATCCTTCGGTGACAACGGTGATCAAACACAGAGAATCACTTGACATACTCAACTTGGAGGGGCTTGGTTTCACAAAAATTGAGAGAAACTGTTCTCACTAACACACTGTAAATTCGAACTTTTAGAGCCAAAATTATATCACGAAATCAACAAACATGGTTCAGATCAACATAAGCCTCTCTGGATTTCATTATACGTAAACTGACCTCATCACTTACACCATCATTTGCGCTTATACAGATACTCAGATTCACGAACATCTTGACTACTTCTATCTCTTCACTGCCAGAAGTGAATGCGGACAGTGTCCTCTCGGTCTTGCCAATGTACTTTGCATTTCGAAGTTTCAAAGAATATATCACACCAACGGAAGTTGATTCCCAACTGATTAAGTGAAGACTACATGGCTTGAGTATTGTTGCACAGTAAGACAATATCATCCGCATACTCAAGGTCGAAAAGTCTTTCTCCAGGCAACAGATCCACACCACCTTTACCTACATCCATCAGAGCTATTTCCAGAACGTCATCGGTGGCAAAGTTGAATAGGAATGGTGAGATTGGGTAACCCTGCCTAACTACATTGCCTGAATGAACCAATAGAGAGGTGATTGTATGGCTTCATTCTACCTGAAGTGTTCGTATATAGGGCTTTCAAGATGTTAATAAACTTTCCGGGCACACTCTTTTTCAATAGATAATCCCAGAGAACTGTCCTGTCCAACAAATCGAAGACGGCCCTAATTTCAAGAAACATTACGATTGTTGACAAGTAATAAGTATGACGGTGTTCTCACATTTGGTGGAGCCTACTTACTTACTTACTTGCGCCTGTTACTCCCAATGGAGCATAGGCCGACATTTGGTGGAGGGTGAAGATATAATCAATACATTCTCGACCAGAACAAAAATCAGCCTGGTCCTCTTGAGTCAATCTTTCTCAGGTCTCGAACAGTCCACAAACCATAACAGAAGCCAATAGTTTGGACGCAATCAGAAGTAGACTTATCCCCTGACAGTTGTTCCATAGGTGATGTGAACCTCTTTTAAAAACAAGGATAACCGTCGACTCATTCCACTATGTTGGAAAACTCTCTAATTCCAAGATATTTATAAACAACTCAGTCATTTCCTTAACCAGCACACCACTACCTTTAAAACGAGCCGGAGGCAAGTCATTTTGGGATGGTGAGTCGTGACGCTTTAAGAATTGAAGTTCCTAGAGCACTTTCACCTCATTAAACGGATCAGTCGACACTGGCCATGCTTCGAGGAGTCGTAAGACACTAGTAGATACCCGATGTTTATAAGCGGGACATTTCGCGGAGCTGGTATCATGTAGTTGCATCTAATGTTCATGTACAACTTTTGGTGGGTTGATAGCTAGCCTTAAACCTAGCCCGGTTCGATATTTATTTGCAACAGAAACTGTAGCCAGTTTGCTGACATTGATCTGTTAACACTTGAATTTGTCGGTCACTGAAACGTAAGATAAGGTTAACGCGAACAAGCGCATGATCCGATTCCAGTTAAGTACCCCAAAAAAGAGGCAGTCTAGTGCACAACGACACTAGCGGTAGCTGATCACAATGTGATCATTTTGGGTCCAGGCTTGAGATGCAGAGGGAGGAAGCCAGATGGCACATCGACGATGACTGTACCGATGGTTGAAGGTAGTCGACAAGCAACCCTGGACCCGGGTTTTGTGCTACTTGGCACTCGTCAGCAAGGTGTACCTGTAATCTTGAGGGAACTGGTGCTCCATGACAGGTTCCATCCCGTTTCATCCAGCTTCACAATCAGAGACGTTACCACAGCTATCCGGGCCGCGACCGACCTCCTGTAGTACTGAGGTGTAATCACAATTGATTGATCACTGGGTGGTGATCAATGTCATGTGTGTCAAGTTCTTATTAGTGCAGATCGAATGCTATCGACCAAGTAAACGATGGCCAGAAACAGGTTGTAGTTTGTGTTAAGTTGCAGTAGACGATCATCGTTATCTGACCAGCGACAAACAAGTCCCCATCAGCTACCCAAGCCTCTTTTCTCAGTGCCTAGACGCTCAGCCTGTGCATTCAAGTCTCCGACTCAATAATTTATTCTTGGAAATCAGTAATCAGTGGAGCACCGGGAAAAACAGTAAAAGGTTCACTATTATCCATTCTTTATATCAATGAATTTTCAAGTCACATCAAGTTTGTTGATATAAAAGTATGGATAGAGTTACAGTAGTATGTGAATATACGAACACTCCAGGTTGATCTCAACATTATAGAAAATCCACTTGAAAATAATCATTGTCGATCAATACACCTAGGTATGTTCATGGACATGTCATAGACTAATGCCGAATTTCACAGGTTGAAATCATGAGGTTTTCCATGGTGGTCTAGCTTCAATTGGCTCACAATTTCAACCCGTGAAATTTCTAAAAAATCTCCACAAAACCCATTCTGATAATAATCAACTGCTCACTAGTGACTGACTTCAGGAGATACTCTGGTGCGTGCTTCTTATATTGATATAAGTAGTATATAACGTGAGTTAAAAGAACGTAATGTCTGGCAGCAGAAGATGGGGGAGATCAAGAAAGGAAGAGCGAGAACACAATGGAATTTGTAAGAAATCGCATGAACAATGAAATATGAAACAATGGATGGATGTTTGCAACAGCAACACTCCGGTTTGATATGATGGAATGATATTTTGCAAATGAACGATTTACTATATGGTTTTTCTATTTTACCAAGTAACTCTGTAATTTTGTGCTAAATACCATTTGGTTGTCCTCACCTGTGTTCTCCTTCACTACAATACTCATGGAGTTCTAGTGAGAAGCCGTTACCAGTAAAGTTCAACCAGGTCTGTTTTGAGATATCAGCTCACTGAAGACAATGGTGTGCGGTGGCGCAACTTCGTGGATTGGTTGAAGTTAGACATTAACACCGTTGGATGCCGGCTCAGTGGTCTAGTGGTTAAGTGCTCGCGCGCGAAACCAGTAGGTCCTGGGTTCGAATATCGCGGGCTGCAGGATCGTGGATGCGCACTGCTGAGAGTCCCATACTAGGACGAAACGGCCATCCAGTGCTTCCAGGCTTTTCATGGTGGTCTAGCTTCAATTGACTCATGATTTCAACCTGTGAAATTTCCAAAAAGTCTCCACAAAACCCATTCTGATGCCAAATTGCCTGAACGTCTCCATTAGTCTCAACTAATAATAACTGAAAGTCATGGCAAATTATAACTTCGAGGTAAATGCTCAGTCCCGTTTGGTGGCAACTAAAGGTTAACAGGCTTTCTAAAAATTGGTTAAAAGGACAGTAACAACTGTCTAAACACCCCTAGTCAGATCCAAACAACTTAAACGTTTATAGCTCCTACTTCCTAGCTAAACAGGTGAACTGGATCTTACGGGAGAAGTACGGAAGATTGCTACCTGAGAAATCTGGGAGATGACCAGTCTGTCTTACGATAAGCGGCTTTGGGAGTTAGATCGTTCTACATCATCGTGCTGTGAACTGGGTATGACTTGAAAGACAGTAAACGACTTTGGATTCGCCACACCTTGTCTCTTTCTTTCAACTAAATCACAGTAAATCAGAGTATACATCAGTTTAGTACAGGAGTCAAGAGCACACGATCCATGCGGTATATACGTTTTCCGCATTGAACAATAAACTTTCATAACTTGTTACCAAAAGACCTAGTTCCTTCAATTCTACGTAGCTTATTAAAGAAAAAACTAGGAAAATAGGGCGGCAAAATACAGAAGAACTTGTAGTGGATTATCTTCGAGACAATTTCTTAAACTTCGCATATTGATCGCCCTGATAACCACTATTATATAAATCCCAACGGTTTATAAATTTCAGAAGGCAACGTGAAGCACCGACTACAGTTTATTATCGAACTATTTTTCTATTTAAACACATAAACATCGGTACAAAGAGGCACCAAATAGATATGCGCCACATAATTCATTCGATTTATGTGAGGGCTGGGATACTACCCGGGTGCCCAAATCGAAGTAGGTTTATTATTAATATTATCATCATTACTGAACAACACAGGTCAATAAGACACAAGCACACCAAGCGAATTCGAGCAGAGCTGCTACTGTGAGCGAGCTAGCGAATACAGAGGCGAATTCAGAGTCAAGTCAATTAATAAGACCCAAGGATATATATATATATATATATATATATATATATATATATATATATATATATATATATATATATATATATCGTAGAGCCATTTAAGTAAGCAAAAAGATGGATTTGTGTGCAGGTTGTCATATGTGATCAAGCATACATGTTCATACAGACGTGATAACAACAATAACTATACAAAAATACACAAATTGTAAATTAAGGCAATATCGAGGCATACGCACAGTATGCACATATGCCAATAAGAGACTGATCAATTTCAGTCCTAAAACACCAATGGGAAGATTCAAGTAAAACAATATCAAGTGAACAAATTGTTACTGTTCGAATAACACTGTATGTTAAACAAGTCAATTGAAGGGCTTGACATAATTAATCTCAAATAAACTCAATTGTAGGGGAGGTGCTATAAAATAATGTTTCTCCTTCCTACAGATAGAGTTGACAATGTGTTCTTCTTATTTAAGTCCGTGGCTGATAGAGCCTATCAAACAGATGTGCAGGCCCTTACCGAAATGTAGAATGCAGATATGAAGGTGATCGACTCTGCGGCCTCGGCTGAAAAGTGGAAAATTAACTTAGATGCATCAATAGGAGAGATATGAACTCATTCCCAGGGTCTTGACAAAATTAACTGCAAATAAACTTAATTGTAGGAGAGGTGCTATAAACTAAAATATACTTAAGGTCTTCTGTTTCCATATCCCAAATCTGAAGTTAAACGATAGTGAATCATCACTTTAAATGGATAAAATAAATACAACAGCACAAGAATTAACCGAAGGATATCAGGTTAGAGAGCATAGCTTGCGAGATGAACAGATGTTGCAAGACTAAAGAGAACTGATTCTATTTGTCAACTGTGACTAACATTGAACGATGACACGATTCAGAGTCGGAAACTTCCCTTCGAGACACCATGATGCTTTCATTTGAAACCTAGTTGAACGTAAAGTTTTAAACAATGAAATTGAATACCTGCTTCCTTGATCATACCAGTAATGCAATGGTGGGTGTTTTTTAGAAATTCAAGGCGCCTATTAAAATCTTAGTGATAACACTACCAAACGACCTTTGGTGTGGTCTTCTTTATGATGAAAGTTTAAGGAATTTTAAACCTTATTGACGTACTTAGTTTTAGAATAACTACGATCTTAGTTACTACGAAACTTTAAAGTTTAATAGTGACGGAAAGCTCTAGGTGTGGTTTCAGAGGTGCAAAATTTGGGAAGTGAGACAAGCTTGAAATAGAAAAGAATATCAATTACCAAACCGTGCTAAATAAATGTACATATCAAGGAGAAACATCAGTAAGTTTTGAAACAAAGTGAATAAATTAATACGCGACTTTTCCCAATCGAGATCAGAGAATTTTCAGCCATAAGGCCGAAACATTACAAGAAAACATATGTCAATAAAACCTGTATTATGATGGAGTGCACCGAAAGGTGGACAAATTAAATCGAGACAACCATAAATGTGTTTACCATACCAAAGTAACACAGCTGTCAAATAGTGCGCTTCTCAATCCTCGTTTTTCTCAGTATCAGATCGCTCAACCTATACGACATTCTTTTGAACAGGTCGACGAACGGAGCTACCAAAATTTGATGAGATATTTATTTATAACCTTTAGGATTTATTGGAAAGGTCGGTAGCCAGGTAACAAGTAATTGATTCTATGCTTATGAACTTGAGGTTTAGATTTGTGTAGTAAGGACAGAAGGCCTACGGCCTATGTTATTCCTTTTCTAGTATGCTTCTGTGAGTTTCCAGTCTTCTCTTGAAATAGTCAACTGAGGGTGCAGGTTCCAAGTATTGATGACTCGGTGTAAAAACCTGTATGCCGCGGGTATTCTGTTCGTTCTTGGCTTTTCTACTCGCCTGCTATGTCCTCTGATATGTCCCGATCTGGTGGGAAGAAAAAGAGAGAATAAGTTAGGTCTAAGATCATTTCTCAGCATTCTGTACATCAAAATTAGGTCTCCCCTTAATCTGAGATAGGACAGAGTTAAATGGTCCAGCTTTTCAAGCTGCTCTTTGAATGGCTGCTCTATGAACCTTTTCTAGGATATCCGAGTCACCTTTTAAACCGAGGCTCGCAGCCTGAATGCAGCTCTCAAGCTTAGTTCTCACTAGGGATAAGCATACTGTGGTGAACATGGTAGTATCTAACTTAGTAAATGTCTGTTTTAAAGCCCAGAGGTTTCAAAACCCCTTAGTTGCGACCTCCCAGCAATGGGCCGTCGTCTTAAGATCATGACTCACTGTCACCCTTAGATCTTTATGAGACCGGACCACGGGTACAGGCACTTTCCCTATGTTGTACCTATTAACCTTTGAATGCCCAAAGTGCATGAGACACACTTTGCCACGTTGATAAGCATCAGCCACTCTTTAGACCACTTAATCACATTTAAGTCTGCCTGAAAAGCACATGCGTCTGTGTCTCCAGTTATTACTCGCCAGATATTTACATCGTCAGCGTATAATAACATTGGAGACTGTACTATATTTGTAAAATCATTAACGTACATTATAAAAAGTAAAGGACCTAAGACGGAACCTTGGGGTACTCCACTAAGTACTGGCCTCCAGATGGAGCACTTGGCATTTATTCTTACTTTATGTCTACGACCTACAAGGAAATCCTTAATCCATTTTAAAAGAGGTCCGGCAATACCAAGGTTTTCCAAGTTCAATAGCAGTCTATTAGTTGGCACCTTGTCAAAAGCCTTACTGAAGTCTATGTAGACAACATCCACTGAGTTTCCGTTGTCTAGCGCATTAATCCAGAACTCCCTAGCTATAAGGAGGTTCGTTGTACAGGATAGACCCTTTCTAAAACCATGTTGTGCCATGTTCAGCAAGTTATTGGTTTCCATAAATGCCGTTATGGTCCGTTTGATTATTCTTTCCAGTATTTTAATTACAACACTGGTGAGGCTTACGGGTCTGTAATTCGATGGAACTTGTCGTAGACCTGTTGTATGTATGGGAGTGACGACTGCGTCCTTCCAGGCCATAGGTAAAACACCTCGGTCAACTGACATACTGAATATCACAGTCAGTGGGGCTGCGATATATTGGGCAATATGCCTCAAGATTTTGGGGTGTACTTCATCTGGTCCTATTGACTTCTTTGTGTTTAGGGTGCTAAGAGCCTTAAGCACATCGTTTAGGTCGAAGTACACGGTGAGCAGCTGGTTTGTTGACTCTTTATTTTGGTCTGGTTCTTTGTCTAGAGGAGGTTCCGGAGTGAAAACTGCCCCAAAATAGTCAGCAATAGCCTCTGCTTTTTCCTGATCTTCCTCTATCATTTCAGATCTACTCCCTTCTTTAATTAGGTTGGGAATCCAATGATGCATCTTTGTTCTGTAGTTTATGTACGAGAATATCCTCTTGGGCTGCTTGAGTGCAGATTGTGCCAGCTGCATTTCATATTTTCTTTGAGCTTCCCGAATTTTTGCTTTACACTTGTTTCTTACCGATATGTAGCGTTCCATCGTACCTGCTGTGCCAAGGCGGATGGCAACATCCCAACATTTCTTTTATCCTAGTAAACGTCAAATATCCCGGCCTATCCAGGGATGGCCGTGCTTCTTCTTTTTAGAACTTTACAGGGTATGTATGGTTGAGTTACCCGATTGTATAACTGCCTGGACATAGTCCATGCCTCTTGTACTGATGCCTTTGAGTCAATTTCCCAGTTCTCAGCCGATGCTGCGGACCTAATTGTCTGCATATCTGCATTCTATATGTTAGGACGGGCCGGCGCAATTGTTTGACAAGCAATCTCAGCCATGAATTTGAATAAGATGACTGCATGGTCAATTCTCCCAAGTGGTGGGAGAAAAGCCGTTTGACCAACGTCATCACTGTGTGTGAAGACTAAATCTAGAAGAAAAGAAGAGTTTCTTAAGTCGTATCTTATGGGATCTCTAATGTGTTGAGATAATGCTAATCCAGTCGACGTTTCTAACAGGTTGCACTCGAACGACGATATCGATGACCCTACTTCTAAGTCAACCCAGTTTATATACGGTGCATTAATCGCCCACTACAAGGATTTTACCCTTGTTACACCAGGACTTAAGTTTACTTAGGAGAAAATCATCTGCTTCACATTCTGGACTGCGATATACTACGACTAATTCAATATCTTGCAGTCGGCATTTCAACTTACATCTCACCAGTTCACATGTCCCTGAAACATGTGCTACTGTCTCAGCTACCGTCTCCTCCAATGATTTGTTAAGCAGCAGTTTTTTGCCTACAGCTTTTTTCTTCTCACTCCTTTTTCTCCGTACTGAAGTCCATTTATCAACACTCAGGACAGCCACACTGCGAATATTTGGGACGGTGACAGTTTTATCCGATGTCGATATCAAGCGGCACTTTACTCTTCGGTAATGTTAACGGAGGTTTCAATTTCCCGTCAATCGCTGTTGAGTGTTTTGCGGGTCCGGTAGCAGCACTTACTACATTGACACATTCTTCACCGTCATTGCCCGTGTTACCAGCGCTACCGCCATCGTTGTTCTTGCAGAACTAAGCCAATAGGCTCATAGCCTTCTGAATTAGTAACTTTTTATTTGTACAGCAAAACATACAAAGCCAATGCGAGTTAGGCCTCGAGCATCTTTTGTATGCTGCAGGACTTAGACGTGTGCACATCTTATGGTACCACTTTTTACATTCATCACTCTGCATTCCTTCCTCAACGGGGAACAGGCAGTTTGGTTGTCCACATTTATAAGTCTTAATAACCATTGTATTTTGATTAAAAAGGTTTAAAATACAATAGGATAACAATCTGAACACGAGTGTCAGTCAACGGGTAAAAAAAGGTACGACGGGACAAAGTTTAGCAAAAATTTCAAACCTCAACCAAAGTACTTTTAGTTGAAGTAGACCAAGAGTGCTTTTTGGTGCAACAAGTACAGAAAGCAAAGATAATCACGACAAGTACAAAAATCACTGCTTTTTTTAAACGAGCAAGATTCCTTATAAATATTTCGTTCCTGGAGGCACGAAAAATTAAGTTTGTCTGGTGCAAATGTACCACTGACCGCTTTTTTGCAACCTGATTAGTTCACCATGAGTCCTTGTGTATACTAAAAAGTGGCAACTACCTCCATAAACTAAGTCGTTTTGTAAAAAAACGGCATTCCAGATTTGTGAGTTCCAACAAACACTGTTAGCTGGTGGTGAGCTATTTCTCTAACTTATATCACATTTAAATATATTTTTATTCTCGTACGATACCCACTTGTGGTGGTAAATAAATCCCCATAATCAATAGACCAATAAGTCTTCGACATTTGATGCTGATCCCATTAGATTTAATGGACACAATCAGCTGATGACACATGCACACCAGATCACGAGTGGGTACTCTATACTACGTATCTCCTACAACTGTTAGCAGGCTTAGATTAAACGCTTCTCAATATATCGATATCCTTTCAAATATAATTTCAAATCGTTTCATTTTTGACTTCTGATTTTACTGGATTGGCATACTTCAGTTTTATGGGTGTTATTTGTAAATGCGTTATCAAACTCCGAATATCTTAGGTATCTTCGTAGTATTGTAGAACTATGGTCTACTATGATATTAGTACTGCTCTAATAATAGACCTAATCCTAAATTTGTAGATTTGTCGTGATATAACTGCCTAATCTATAAGATCTTACGTTGAAGTCACGCCATCGACTACACCAACTCACTGTATCGTATCAATTACCAATACATGATGTAGAACAAGGTTAGGCTAAAGAAAGAACAATATATTTAATACGAATAGAAGATATAAGGTAACATTCAGCAGAGACCACCCCTGCATGGCCGAGCCATGCCACTCGATCAACTCCAATCCGTTCAATTCATTCTTCGCGCCTTCTCCATCGTTAGGTATTTATCCGCGTTAAATATTGAATACCTATTTTCTGAGTAGTCTCGTGTTCACAGCTTTGTGGATTGTGTGACTATTGTTCAATGCCACTACAGTATCTTACCGAAACGGATAAAAATTATGAGTCACATCAATATAAGAGGATAAGAATGTCTTTCAATTGGCAGGTCACATGCAACATGGATAGTTTACAAACACATCAGACCAGATCAGCGTGATAGGCGCCTAAACAACGATTTGGTTGATTACTTATATACATAACTAACAATATTACAAGGTATACAGCGTAGAGCAAATACTAAAGCTCCACCAAAACATACTCCATCTTTAAGTAAGCCTAACATTACAAGACATAACAGGGTGTCGTTTGTGAATAGCAAAGAAGATAATCTGATGATAACCTCAGTTCATCAATGCTTCTGGGGCAGACAGTTTTCTTTGTTTCAGTCTCATTCTGGCCTGTTGGGGAA